TTATTTATTAAATTATAAGAAAAATTCAATTCTGGTTTTTTTTGAACCAGACTGTATAATAAAAAACTGATGTTTATCAAAAAAAAATAAAAAAAATAATATAAAAATAATATATTTTTTAAAACATGACATTAGAAAAAAAAATGTAATATTTAGATAATATTACTAATTAATATAAAAATATTTTAATTAAAATTATTTATTAATACCAAAAAATTTATATTTAATTGACTTATGGATCTATAGTACAATGGTTAGTACTCTATAAGTCAGATTACAAGATACCAGTTTACTTTAGGTAAAGGCAGTTAAATAGAATTAATATGATACCTAATATCATAACTTGAAATATAATATTTCTTATAGAAAGTTAATTCATATGTTGATCCAATAGATATTAAGATTGTGATTTTCAAAGAAAGTAATGTGGCATGAAGATTATCTGATTGGTATATAATAATTATTGAAAAAAATAAAGAGCATGATATATTTAGATATATAGATAAGACTATCTCTATTCTAACCAATCTTGTATAATTATGGTTTCGAAAATTGGAATCGAACAAAATTACAAGGAATCGCATAAGGTTTACAACATTATTAAAAATAATGGTAAGATATATTCCACCTATTAAATTTAATATAAACTTGAGAATTAAATATAGAATTGAAGAGAATTGTTAAGATTCTTATATACAATATTAACCAATAGTACCTGTCATAGGTAGTGAGAATAGTTATAGCTTATATGAACTTAAAATTGATACAAGTTATAATTTGAGATTTAAGTAATAAGATGAAAGAAGGTATTTGGATCAACTTCTTTAAATATTACTTCTCCCTTACAAGTCAGATTTAGAATAAGTTAAATAATTTAAAACTAGTAATAGAATTTCTATTTTCTATAGATCTGTTCTTTAGGATTATTAAAAGTAAATTATTAAATGATAGAATTAGGATTCTAAGATGAAAGTACTTGTGCAGAAATAATCTGCAAGGTAAAAACTTGTATAAATTCTTAAATATAATTCAAATATACTATTTATATCAATAAAAATCTTGCATTGATATACTTGGTTACTTTAAAAAAAAAAGATTTATATTTGATTATTTTTTAAATTAATATTTATTAAATAATAATACAATTTTTAATTTTTAAAAAAAATTTTCAAAAAATTTTGGGTAACACCATATATAGAAAATCGTCTAAAGAATGTTCTGAATTAACTAAATCAATTCTTAAATTATTTATAAAAATCTTGTTTTGGTGAAGCTGAAAGTAATATTGTTAACAAAAACCAATTTTTTAAAGTATTGAGATAAAAGGAAAAATTAAAAAATTAAAAAATGCTTTTATTTTGTTATAATATAATAAACAATTCATTAATTATATTGCTTAGGCTATATTTGATTGAACTGTTAGAATTAGATAAAATTTATAAAGAGAAAGCTAAAATATTTTAAAAAATATTGTACAAAAACTGACAAAAATAATTTTCAATATATAGCTACTATACTTGAATAAGTTGTTATTTAAGTTAATAGAATAATATCTTCTTTTAAAATTAATTTCTTCATATGTATTGTAAATAAAGTTTATATATTAATTTATAATTAAAATTTATAATATATAAATTTAATTAATTTTTTAAATTATTTACTTTATTAATTATTTTTAACTAGTATAAGTTAAGTAATTATTGTAAATTGACTAATATTTAACTTGTTATTTATTATATTTTATAATATACTATATATATAAAAGGTGTTATTCTTTTATAATGTATATTATGTTATATACAAATCAAATAAAAAAATATTATTTATTTACTCAAAAATAAATTTTATTGATTTTATTATATCAAATTTGTTATTATATATATTTTTTTCAAATATATTTATTTTTTTACTTTATATAATAAGATAAATATATTGGTTATTGTATACTTATATTGTACTTGTATCGAGTACTTGCATATATATATAACCAATTGAATTTTCTTTCACAACCTTCGTCTTTGAACCAAATATAAGGCTTTTTTGTTACATTCCCGCCAAAACTTTTGATATAATTTTCATATTTCTTATCTATCTCAATCATTTATCGCAGGATTATGCAATGTATACACCCTAGCATTGTCTCATATAGTTGTTTCTATTCATCTATTTTTTATGTATTTCCTCACCTATTCAATATTTCTTTCTCCCAAAATTCACCCCTCATCTGTCAGATAATAATCTGAGGAATTTACGTCATTCCAGTACTTAATTAGTCAACTATCGGCAAAGTTTAAATTCATTGCGAAAGTCTATGTCAACTTTTTTCGTTCTGCCTGCCTATTATTGATTTAAAAAGTATGTTTTGAAAATAGAAAACGTCTTAAGTTATAGGAAACCTGGTGTTTTGACACTTTACATTAGTCATCTTTATCTAATATACGTTCGCTAAGCACAGTACGTATTAACCCATTTATATATGATAAACACTTGTACTCACTTTCGTACAACAGTATAAGAATAAATCTTCCTAAAGACTTTGGGCTCTCTGGGCAAAGAGCAAGTTCAATGTCCCAAATGCCAGAGCCACTACAATCTCGACAAAATAACTTTTTACCTTCCGCTGAGCGGTTCAATCCTACCGATAACCAAACTTTTGCTCATCATGTGCAAACTTTATATAAGCTTGAAGCACCAATTTCCAATATTTACCTTGCTTTATCAACCGAACGCCCTGTGTCAAATCTTATAGAAACTTTCAATAACACCGTAGAACAGATCGACCAATGGCTAGTACATGCTAATGGTGCTATTCTCGCACTAGAACTTGACGTTCGGGAAGGAATGAACGTTAAAAGCGTGGGTGAAATGGACATATTAATACATAAATTCGCACCGAATGTTGACGACTTGTTGCAAGAGCTGCTAAAATCAATTTTCAATAACCTTAAGGACGCTGATGACGAGGGGAAGCGAAAAGAAATTCAGGATACCTTCGATAGAATAAACGCTGACTGGGTAGAAGTAAAGACATTCTTTGGAAGAGTTAAGAAAGAGATGTCAGAGTCAAAACAAAGACGCGAACTTTTGGACACAATGAATCATATAATAACTTCTATAGAAGAACTGAATACAAGCATATTTGAATATCAAGAACAAAGATTAAGCGGTTTTGGTGAAGGAGTCAACGAAAACTTATCTTTTCCTAAGCTAAGTTCCAGTCCAACCACACGCAGTAGATCGATTACTCCTGCAGCACTTAGCAATCTAAGTAATAATTCTCACAGCAACGAATTAAGCTCACGAGCCGAGAGTGCTTTAAGGCAGCTGGACTCTCGATTAGAACCCCTAGCTGCACGTATAGAATATTTGAGGTCTCGATTATCTGCTCCTAATGCACCTTCGGATCCTAATGGTGTATTGGCGAAAAAAAACAGCATTTTATCAGGTAAATGGGATGCACTGAAAAAAGAAATGGAAACGTTGAGAGAAGAATTGAAAGAAGATAGATGGTTAGGAGTCTTTAAACAGGTAACAGGTAATGCGAGTCATATGATGGACTCGCTCGAGAAAGCAGTTAAACAATGCAAGGACTTTATGACAAGAGCTCTTAGCCGAGTAGATTCCCCTTTAGCACTAAAATTATTACAGCAAAATAGAGGAGCACCGATACCATCTAGATACAACCAAAGGACTTACTTGCAACAGCAACAATCGCTATCACAACCCCCTATAGCTATATCATCTAAAAATTTCCAAAGACTTTATAAGAGCTTCGATGCTAAACGAAAATATTATGTTCCTGCGGTAACCAAAATGCTCACAATGCTCGCAAATGGTATTAATCAACAAATGACTAGGGATTTGGAAGCTATCAAAAAGTATAAATCCATGAAGGAACGCTGGGACAATATACTGGATGGCGTAGAAGAAGTTCAACGTGATATGCCAGGACTAGAATCATTGATGGAGCATTCTTACATGTCCAATAATTCACCTCCTTCGTCGAGACCCTCGTCCAGAGCATCTTCGCCACCGATGTCACCAAACATGAAACCAACAAGAGGAATGTTTTCACCAGAATCCGGTTCTCCAAGAGGGCAAAGATCGTTGTCCCCATATGGAGTAATGCCTCCACTAGAACATCATGAACCTTCTGTATCTCCATCACGCAATAATGCTAGATCGCCATCTTTAAGATCCAAATCTCCATCCCCTCGAGCTATGAGTCCATTCGGTGGACGTAATTATTTGACTCCTAATGGTCGCCGCGCGGAAAGCCCACCACCACCTCATTACGAACGACAACAATGGAACGCACAATATAACAATTCTTTATACAATAACTCGCATTACAACCAGTCATATAATAATCACAACGGTTCTTATTATCGCGATCATACCATCTCACCTCAACCGAGGAACGGACGATCTGATTCACCTATAAGGTCATCTTCAAATCGATCAATATCCCCAGAACGTTCGTCTGCTTCTGCCATACCACGACCTGTTACAAGTATGGGAATTATTAATAGAACATCTTCACGGGCTGGTATAAGATCGCTTCTACCGAAACCGAGTACGCCACAGCCAGGCATGGCATCTATGTATCATAATGGAATGGCATCCCCTCCACCAGTGTTACGACGACTACCAGTAAGATCCCCCACTCCATCTTCACAAACCAGCAGTCCATCTAGGCCAATCACACCTGAACATTATGATGATCCTATGGCTCCATTATCGAAAATGAATAATCGATCAGATAAATATGTTCCTGTGAAAAGTGACACACTTGATGTTGAGGTCGCAAAGATTGTTAATAACTCACCAATTCACGTAAAAGTTGAAAGAGCACCGGGTGGTGGTGGTCGATATTTCTTTGGTAATGGAGAACCTGGACGCGAGAGAAAAGTTCACAACGTCAAATTAACGAGTAATGGAAATAAAGTCATGGTTAGAGTGGGTGGTGGTTGGACAGAGTTAGATATGTTCTTATTGGATCATAGTCTAATGAATAGTGTGAGAAATTTATAATAGAATCCTTTTGTTACACATAACTTCTTCAAAAATTATATAACTTGGTATATATAGATATCTATATGTACGCGGAGTTTAGCATTATTTATTCTTAAAATTCGATTGTTTTAAACATGAAATTTCCATGAATCAAACGTTACCACATCTATATCACCCATCATTCTGTGAGCATACAGATCGTGATGATTTTTAGTCTTATTTGTATATATAGAATTTTTCTCATTTTTGAAATATTTTGTATCTAAGACACATAGGGATTCCTTTTGTCGTCTCGTCATCAATATTTACGTTTCTTGGTGACAGTATACTTTATCTTGTGATAAAAGAATACAAAAAAAATGTCAAAAATATAAAATTCCAAAAAAAAATGAGAAAAAAAGTTAAATTACATAATCTTTTATGGTTTATTAATTTTTATCGTTCATGATGATAGTGAATTACCCAGATCATAATAAATACAAGTTAACGCGCAACATTAGTTGATTCTTTAAGATATATAAAATAAGCGGAATGAAGGGATATATTTATTGAAAATAATTGTTTAAGTAATAAGTTGCTTTAATACATACACACTTTATATCATTTTCAACCGATAATTACTATTTAAGCCCATGATTATTGAACAATCCTCTCGTTTTAGATTGCATTCTCTTCCTCTTGTTCCAAGCTCTTTTGTGTATGCTCACTAATGTCAATCGCCTCCCATGGGTAAACCAACCATTTATCTGGCACTTCTTTAGCCGCGAAATATCTACCATCTGGAATGATACTTTGATCAGGTAATTCCATCCTCTTTTGTTTCTTTTTATTATGAAGGACAAATACTGCTAATTTCGTCTCAGGAACATCGGATCCTGGATGACTTTGAATATACTTAAGTTTTTCCTCATTTATGTCTCTGCTAAGTTCCTGAATAGCATATGCGAGTGTGGTTCTGGTGTCATCAACCTCGTCAACAATAAGAATATTTTTTCCGAGCAAAGGGCAAGTTACATGGCCAAAATGTAACCATTGAGTTTTCACCACTTGAGTACCAATGGTAGCAGCCGCATCTGCCTGTTCTGCATCAAAAACACCAAGATCTTCATAAAGGGAAAGTCCTATTGCCTGAATTGGAATGTTCTTATTGTTTGGGCGTTTAAGGAACGAGCGCTGCCACGAAAGTTGTTCGGGTGTTTGGACAAAAGAGAGTGAGTGATTATTATTCATCATTACTATAAATGTCTTAATGCATCTATTAATCGGCTGCAATACATGCAATCAATTCTCAATCGATTACTAAATATTCAACTGACAATGATTTACTAAATCAACCAAAATTTAGTTAATTGATTGCATATATTAACACGCTTACAAAATATATGCTTTTGCACATGATGCATTTCTTGAACAATGTAAACTACGCAAGATGCGTAAGGAAGTCAAAATTGACCTACAAAAAACTAGTCGATAACAAGTTTTCTTGTACAGCAAGAAAGTGAATACATAAAGTTTGAAACGTAATACGAAGAATTCTTTGTAATTTGCGCCTGACTCATGGGAAATAATTTCATTCAACAAAACACCTTATAAAAGAATATTGCACTTACCAGAATTCTAGCCGGAACAAACCCTCCGCCGCCAATAGCAATCATAAGATCTGGCTTATAATCTTCATTGATACGGTAATGTTCAACTGCGTCTTTAATGAGCTGGTGTACTTGATTGTACGAAATGTATACCTTCGTATCCTTTATTTTAAAAAAAAAGAATTTATATGTAATAAGCGAATATACCAAATAGGAAGAAATATAGTTACAACCAACCATTAAAGCGTAGACAGAGATTGAGTTTACGCAACCGATCTTATTGGACATTTGAATGGATTTTGTGTACTACATGATACGCGACAAGAATGCGTATTTTTTTTCCAATTGTGTCCACGTGATCCATTAACACAACTTTCAAAAATAATATATGCATATACAGTGTCACATTTTTTTATTAGTTATTTGAAATAAGTTATTATATAAAAACGACAGTTTGAACCCTAGATGTTTCTTGACTGATTTTTCTTTAATATTTTTTTTTAAAAAATTATTATTAATTTATAAAAAATTTTTTTTCCTAGTTAAACAAGTATGCAATATTGATTAAATTTTTATAGAAAACAATTATTTTATAGACTTGAACATTTAGATTGATGTTTTTAAATATAATTTTGAGAATAAAAGCAATTATTTTATTGCAAATGGGGCATTAAATGCGAGACCTTTATTAAACTTTTGTTTATTAAAAACAATTATTCTTTTAATATTTATTTACTTATTTATTTATAAAATTCAAAATTCAAAATTATTGTTAATAGTTTATTAAATTAATTAATTTATAAAAATTTTATTAATTATAACTTTTATTATTAATTTATTAAATAATTTTTAATAATTTATTTTTTATATTATTGACTTTATTATATTAAAAAAAATCAATACATTGTAATAAAAATCAATACTAAGTTAAAATTAGTTAATATTATATTTGTTTGTTTGTTTTTTTGTAATTAAATAAGTTTATATTATTTATTAAATTTTTACAAAAAACAAATATTTTTTCAGAAATTCAAGATTTTTTAAAACATAATTATTTGGTTTTTGAAATTTTTTTTATTTTTTTAAAAAAATTTTATTTATTTTAATTTGATTTTAATTTTTGATTATATTAAAATTTTTAAATAATTAAAAATTTGAATTAATTAATTAATATATAATAAATAAATATATATATTATCTTTATTATTATTATTATTTTTTTTTAAATAGATAAATATTATTACTTTATTATAATTATAAAATTGAAAAAATTTATATATAAAGAAAGTAATAATATCTCTCATATAACCAATTAATTGGTGAGTTTAATGCTAACTTGTATATGATAAATTATTTAAGTTATAAAGAAAAAGAAATATTAAAATCAATATATTGTCAAAAATAGTACCAAGCAGTTATAAATATATACTCAGATTTATATATATAAAAATTATAAGAAGTAAAAAAGAAATAAAATACCATACAAAAAAATAGATATAAAAAAATTAATTGTAAAACTAATGATAATCCAAAAAAATATGCTATGCTAGTAATTTCATTTAACTAAAGTATAGTATGTATATACTTATTACAAATAATCAGGCTACTGTTCAAAGTATACAGTTGTATTAATAATATATATTTTTTGATAGTTGATTTGATATGATAATTGTGTTGTTGTTTTGTTAATACAATTGATCATTGACTTGTTTATTAATAATATAATTGATTTGTTTGTTGATAATATGATTTTGTTTTAATAGTTGTTATTAAAAAAGAATTTGTTTATATTAATTAGTATGTGATGTTTTGATAATACAGATTTGTTTGAATAATAGATAGTATTTGATTGATTGGTTTTGAAATATTGATTAATTGATAAGAGTAAACTGATTATGATTCTTTAATGAAAATTTTTTTGAAAAAAAGTTTTATGTTTTTTGTGACACTAATTGAAATCTGATTATTCAGCAGTATGCCATTCATCAATCATTTGGCATATGATAAAAAAATTTATCAAATATTCATAAACAATTAAGCAATTATTATCAAATTGAATATGCCAAATTATTGTTAAATATTTAACAAATACTTGATGAATTATTTATTATATATCAAATAATTAATAAATAGTATACTGCCAAATAATTAGATTTCAATTAGTTTAGTATAGTAAAAAATGTTGAGTAATAGTAAAAAGTAAACAATAAATATTTACTGATTCTTCATATCAACAATATAAACATTTTTAATGTGTGGTTTTGTTTTTTGATTTATAAGAAAATCTTCAAGAAAAAAATATAATTATTTAATAAGAAATATATATTCATAAGAAATAAAAATAGGAAGAATCACAAGGAAGATTTATAAAGAAGTAATTGCTATAGATCTTTTCTTATATAATTTAAAAAAAAAGCAAGATTTCTAAACTTGCTTTTTTTTTATCAGAGATTCTATTCCAATATATCAGTATACTTTTTTAATTTTCTTGAGATTCTTATAATAAAAGTAAAGAATGTGTAAAGAACTTTGAAGTATTGAAAAGCAAAAAAAATATTTGATTTTTTAATTTTAAAAAATAATTATTAAAAAAAAAATTTTTAAGAAAAAAATTGTATATGAAAAAGAGTTTTTTTTTTAATATATTATTAATTATTATTAAATATTATAATTAAATTACAGAGGGTATTCAAAAGTCATTAGACAAACTTTAAAAATTTACATTCAGCTATATATATAATTAAAAAAAAATAATTTTATTTTTTTTTTTTTTAATATTAAATATTTTATTAAAAAAAAATTTTTTTTATACAATAATTATTGAAATTTTAAAAATTTTAAAAAAGTTTAAAAAATTACTCAAACTGAAAATAAAGATCACCTGAGAAATCAAATTAAAATAACTTATTTAACTTTTATTTTTTATACAATTCAGTATTTAGTAAGACTTTCTTAGTCACAATGTATGCTTTTACATGTCATGACATGTTGTCTATTATCTATTGATAAAGTTAATATGGTATATTTTTCCAGGCTTGCAAAACAAGACAATCAAGTTCTACAAGATCACTTGGTTTCATTTCACATCGCCATACTGAGTTTTTTACCTTGTACTACAAGTTCTCTATTGGATTTAAATCAGAACTTTGTATAGGCCAGTTCAAAACTCGAATTCCATAGTTAACAAAAAAATTATTGGTAATCTTTGTTATATGTGGTCTTGCATTATCTTGCATGAAGTATAGGTGACCACAATTATTAATAAAAGAAAAACAATCAAAAATCGGAATAATATGTTCTTAAAATATATTAATATATAAAGACACCTTTATAGAATTGTCAAGAGGAATAAGGGAATTAACACCATATCAAAAAAACAACCCCAGTACATTTAACTTGGACTATACTTAATGATGCTGGTTAAATATTCAATTTTCTATTCTTCTTGTAGCTTACGCCATACTTGACAATAGGATCTTTGCTAAAAAAGGAATACTATGAACTTGTCAGACCAGAGCATACATTGAAAATGCTGAGTGGTCCAGTTTTCACATGTTAGATATTAATTGAGCTGGTTTTTTGAATTGACTTTGGAAATAAATAGCTTCGGGTGAGTGATACAACATCTCAAATTCAATTTATAGAAAGCACAATAAACTGTATTTATGAAAATATTAATCTTTGTTTGATTCGGGAAAACATTAATAAGTTGAGAAACATATAAATAATAGTTTTTTTTCGTGATTTTTTTTAAGATGGCTTGAAAAAAAAAACTAATAAATGATAAGCAGCTGGTTTTTATATCTTGTGGTTCAGCAGAGCTAGTTTCTAAGAATCTTTTAATAGTAATACTAACAGCTGATTTTGAACAACTGACTTGTTTTGTGATATCATGATATGATTTTTTTTTTTATAGTAGCAAATAATTACATCCCTTTGTACTGATGTTAATTGAATTTTTTTGTTCATTATTTTTAAAAATATGATTCTTGTTTGTGAGTTTATTATTTATATAACAAATAAGTTAATATAAATAAATAAATTAATTTAAAAAAAAAATTAAAAAATTAAAAATAATTTTCAGTTTGGCAAAAATATTTAATTTTTTTAAAAACCTTAATATTTAAATAACTACTACATAAAAAAAATAAAATAAATTATTTTTTTTTTAATTCTGTATATATAGCTAAATATAAAATTTTAAAGTATGTCCAATGACTTTTGAGTACCCTCTATATATTGTTAAAGTGAAAAATGAACTATATAAATAATGAGAAAAATAAAAGTAAAATGAAGTAAAATGAAGTAGAATATAAAAAGTAATATGATAGATATGCAAAAGATATCTAGTATTTCTAGTATATTCTAGT